GTTGATAACGAAAACAAACAGTATATCGTCGTTATGTGGCTTAAAATTCTAATGGAAAAGCTACGCAAAACACACACTATCTATCTATGTATCTCAGAATCTGTAATCTTGGGTAAAATATTTGCGCGTCATTCGGTTCGAAAGCTTTCAACTTTGGAGTAGTGCCGAGATGGCATTTCAATTAAAGTGCAAAAACACACGCAGTTTGAACTGCGCGCCCCTTTTCCCATCCTTTGGCTTTGCAGTTCGTGCAAATAATTGAAATACGCCCACATCGTGCAAAACTGGGATGTCGGTGGGGTGTAAAAAATACTCAAAAGTTGCCGACTCCATAGAGGAAAATTCCATGCCGGCAGCTTGACAGTAAAAGCAGACTTGGCAACTTTTACAATTTTATCTACTGCAAGAAAAAAACAATCTAGAAAAAATCATATGTGCCTCTATTCACTGAGCAGCTTTCATCCACAATTTTATGTGGAATCCCAGATGCAAGTATGTGATTCTCTATATTTGTAGGAAATATATATGCAACTCAGTCAATTCAATTTAATCTAATAATTTTACATTTACACATCACTTCAGTAATGAGCATAACTTTACAATTCAAGAAATAAAATCAAAATTAGGGCACCTATTTTCGCATTGAAGTGCCTACTTAGAGAAAATTCTTCAATATTTGTATATAACAAAAAATAATTTTAAGTAATTTAAAAATTTTCTGATCCTAAGTGGAAAAGTATTTAATTTATTCATGACATTAAATTTTCTTTACAATAATATATTTTTGGAAAACCTATTAACCGTTTTGTGGAACACATACATTTTTTCTCTGTCTATAACTCTAAATCGAATATATATGGCGTAAAAGTCAAGGAACTTTAAGCTGCTTTTTGCCCAGGCAACTTTTACCCGCACATTTTTCGTTGTCTATGTTTTCTTATTTTCATTTCGGCTTGTCATGCTCAATCTAAATGAGAGATGAGTTGTCCATTTGTTCGTTTTCTAGCTGGTCAATTTGTTGCGGCCATTCAAAAGGCGAACATGTGAGAACAATTGAATCGAGACTTACAGTTATAACTGCCGGCCAGCAGTGCGTGTGGGTAGATAAATTACGATGGTCGGGTAATGAGTTTGTTGGATTGGATAAGTTCGGAGAAACCCGGGTAAAATTAGAAATTAGCACTAAACTTTGTGCGGCAAATAAACTTGCTCAAAGCCTAAGTGGAATTTATAGAAAATGCACTAACACTTATTTATTTGAAAATACATTTTGTTTCTTTTAAATAGCAAACTTTATTGCAAACATTTCTTTAGTAAATCAAACCTCTCAAGGCCATAAAAAAGACAAATAATATCCAGAGAAAATCCAAGAAAGAGAACTAAAATTGGAAAATGCCCTGCCAAAGAAACCCGCCCGATTTAATCAGCTTAAGTAAGTACCCAAAGAGAGCGGTTCGGATACGCAGTTAAATAAATCTCTTATGTGGGTGGTGTGTGCCACTATCGTCAATGGTGGTGCTGTTTTCGGTGGTGCTACCTTAATAAGAACAGCCGTTGTAGCTGTCAGTCAAACGCCCCGACACAAATCTCTCGGCGAAGCCTTATGAATAATCACTCGGCGGCGGCACCAGTGTAAAAACTTGGCAAAAGTGCGAGCGTACAAAATAAAACGAAACCAGAAAAGAAAAATGTATTTCAAATGCGCAAAACGAACAAAACAAAAATTAAATGTATCAAGAAAAATCGTGAGGAAAAGTGTCTTTTAGGCAACATCTTAATAATGCTGCGAAATTGAGGGAAGAAAGCGTGAAAGGGTTGGGGATATGGGAAATAATGCTCACATGTCTGCCTCGAAAGATTGGGATTTGGATTTTTAATTTCAAATTCGTGTGGCATTTTACTTTTACACCCCGAAAAAAAAGTGTGATACCTCAAGCTGAGCACTTAACTCGGTTCTCAATCGAGTGGGAAGGAAGGTCGACCAAGTCACCTGCCTGCCGACCACGTATGCCAGCTTATTTCGAGATAAAGATACAAATTACAAGGGGGATTTAGGAGGGGTTCGCCTCGATTAATATGCAAGCAGTGCAGCAAATAAAATATATATAATTGCTGTCTGATTCTTATTTACCAGACTGTCGTCTGTTGCATAAAAAGCAAATCAAATGATCGACTTGGGGTTCGACTAATTAAGGCGGAACTTGAGCGTGGCTTAACTTCAATGTCAACAGACAAAGCGGTTCGGAGAGTATTAAATTGTCATTTCTGATTGATTGTCAAGTGTTTAATAAAATGGAAAGAACGCTATAGTCAAGTACCTCGAATATCAGATACCCATCAGAAGTGCGAGGGAGATGGAGATACGCATACGGCAAGGCGACTGCTTGCACTGCTTGAATTACCTTATTTGCTTATAACTTTTTAATAAAAGGTCCGATTTGAAAAATTTCTTCCACATTTCTATAGGTATTAAAAAACACATGAAAGTTGCATTTATATTTTTCCGCTCGGGTATAATAATTATTATTATTACCTTTTTGCTTGTTACCAAGCCCACTGTCACACCCTTAGCTGTCTATAATTCACAGCCATTTGCGAAGCAAACTATGCGTAAGAAGCCCAAAATAATTAAGTTAACAATTTGGCTAATTATGCTTGCACTAAATGCAGTTAAACCAACGCACAATTAAACCACAAGAACGAGTAGACGAGAGCCAAGAATTTGAATACACAGATATATTTTTCAATGCCTCATATTACAGTGGGTACCCGAATACGAGGAAAACTATTTGCCTACTCAGGAAAAAAACGAAATAGAAGCAAAACATATGAGAGTGTAGGATGAGGATCTCGAGTTCTAGTTTTCCCGGTTGCGCTGCCATTTGTTTTTCCTGTCAGTGTGTCAAACCGAAAATGTGGCGACGATGTCTGTTTATTTAGCACGTTCTTTGGCTTCTCGTCTCCCTCAGATTTCATCTGGCGCAAGTTCAGTCAGCCAGCCAAGTTCTTCTTCGCTTTTTTTCCTAGCAGCATGTTTTTTTTTGAACGAGTATTTATAAATGAAACTTGCCTTTGTTGTCATTTATTACTGTCACTTTAAATCCAATCAACGCTTTGTCTATGCTCTGGCCATCGATGAGCGATTTTCTGTTGTTTTCTCTTCGATTTTTGGCTTTAGATTTTGTTCTCTGTCAAGTGTCAGGATGATAATTTTAAATTTCATAATCTATTTTGGCATTTTTGGCGGATAAAAATAACTAGATTCTTGCAAGTAATTGGATCTTGAAATATCTTTAGCAATTACTTATATAATGGCAAAACAGCTTTTCTTCAAACAATTTTATGAGCTAATAAAAAATCTAGCAATACAACTTTTTTCATTATTACCATTCCTGTCTAAAATCAATTGTGATATTTTATTTATACGTCCCACATGCCCCTCATAATTTTGTAGTTTCCCGAAGCAAGAAAAATGTTTGGCACATGCCAAAAGAAAAAATTATGAAATAATAAATAAAATGCTAATTGGTAAAGCAAGCACTGAGGAAGCGAATAACAAAAACTTTAAACTCTTAATTGCCTGGCGCCAGACGATCGTTTTTTAATATTAAAAAGTAAAGCAAGTCCCCATGACGTTGACGAACTTGAATGTCGGTGGTTTTTTTTTTCTGTTGCCCTGAATATTTCGCTTCTGGCACAAAGGTTCCCCTTTAAAACTGTTTACTCTCACTTTAGTGGCACGAAATGGTTCATTAAAAACGTCACTTACGGCAAAAGCAGGGCATTAATAATTCCGCCGAAGCCTACAATCATTTATTACCGAGCTCAGGAAAATTACGGAAAAAATGACAAATTTACAAAACTTGACAGTGACTCATAATGGAAAAATATTATGGACATTCTGGGCTCGAGGATAATTCATTAATTTTAATTTATTGCTAGAGGGCTTTTATAAACCGGCCATATTAAAAAGGATAAACAATAATTATCTGCTTTCAAAAGCTTAAATTTACTCAACTATTTTACTTTTATTATAATCACAATGTTACGTCAGAAAATCCCTTTGAAGTGCTTATAAAACACCTTATTCCCACGGTCCCTTGTCCAGTGCCACCCAAAATGAATATTAATAAGACAACTCACAACGTAAACATCGCCCTCGATCTCGTATAATAAATGAATGCAATTTACGGACAGCAACTTAGTAAAATTATAGGTTGGAAAATTTGCCCGCGTCTCAAACTGAGCCTGAGTGCCTGATGAAAAATTTAAAAACAAGCAAAGAGCAAAACAATTTTCATAAATATGCCACTGAGGCAAAAGTTGGGCGAAAGCTGTGAGAAAAAAAACGAGGAGAGTAAAAACCTCAAAGCGCATTAACGCCTTTAATGGCCTTGAGACGCGCAGAGTTCTTACTTTTTTGAGGGGGCGGCGTTGGGCTGTTAGGTCCACTTAGAACAAATATTACTAAATTTAAAATCATGAAAAAACAGAGGTTAATCTTTAAACCTGTTCTCACCTTAGATTTGGGACAGCCGCCGCTGCTGCCGCCGCTGCCTGCAGAGGCGGGGGCACGTTGTACGGAAAGGGCAACTTGGCCGCAACCGCCGGATTCTCGAACAGCATTCTCGCACTGTTTTGGGGGTGGTGCTGAGTCTGGTGGTGCTGAATCTGGAGGTGGGTGGCGCCGCTGGGGGGGTTGATGTTGTTGATGATGGTGCTGCCCGTTTCGGTAACGGTATCGCTATAGGTATCGTTGTTGCTGTTTATGTTGAAAGCGGAGTTCCCAAAGCAGTAAATTTTGCTGGCTCTTCGCTTATCCCAAGACACTGAGACGCTGAGAAAATCACTTTAATGCGCTTGCACCAAATACTTTTGTTTTACTCGGTTTTGTTTCAATTTTTCTTGCACTTTCTAGTTGACTTTCTTCAACTATGTAATTTATAAACGATTTTGTATTTAATAACCGCACTGATATATTTTTTTTTTTTTTTTTTTAAGTAATACTCATTTTTATAACACCAAGATTTGCTGGCAAGGTTTTAGATTTTCTAGAAGAAAAATATATGTAAGTTTGATTAGACTTTGTTAGAACTTTAAAGTACCTATAGTATTTATTCATTTAAAGTTTTTATAAATTTATTAAGTACTAGAAATATAATAGAAGTAGTAATAGAGCAGTAGTCACAATCTTCATAAGCTTGTGCCTGTACGTATGAGTAATATTAAGATTTTCATTCATTGAAGTCAAATTTTTAACCTAATTTTATTTTTAAAGTTATAGTCATGCCTGTTTTTGGAATTACTAATTTATCAAGCATTTTAAAATTAAAATTAAATTTTTTTGTCGTTTGTGTCTTGTTTATTAAGTTATTGAAGTAATTTGTTTCCAAATATTCTCAATTGTTTTGCCATTTTCCATGACTTTGTTTTTATTATTACAGCATTATTTTCATCGTTTTTCCTGCTCTTTTTGCTTTTTTTGGCATTTCTTTGTTTTTGCCTTTATGCTTTTACTTTCGTTATTTGGCATTCGCTTTTGCCTTTTGCTTCTTGCCTTTCAATGGCGAATTCTGAATTCTCTTTTGCCATTGCCGGCTTTTTCGACACATACACACAGGCCAGCACGCACACACACACAGACGCACAAGCACTCACACACGTGCGTGCCGCTCTCAAAATGGTGATAAAATATTGTTGTTTCTGCCGTTGCGGTTTGATAAAATTTCACACACGGCTTTTAATTAAAAACGCTTGAGTCTCGGCCCGTTTGCATAGTTTTTATATAGTTCTGTGCCGGTTTTTGTATTAATTTTTCATAAATTAAATCGATTTGCTTAAACAAAAACACATGCACACGCATACATAAGCATAAATTCACGACACAACAACAAATTTCTGCGACGTCATTGAATTCGCCGCAAAAGAATATGCGAAAATGTGAAAAAGAAGAAAAAAACACAGAAGAAGCGTCCCTCAAAAAAAATATACGAAAATGTCTTCAAGTTGAGTCACTTACACACACACACACTAGTACGCAAGACACTTACACACATACACTTGTGCAAATAAACGACGCGTGACGAAAATTACACGGGGACGCTCGCAAAAAATCCACAAAATTCGACAATCCGTCCGCTCCGATCAAAAATTTTTTTCGACTAACGGTGAAGGAGCGGCTGCGAAAAGTTTAAGGCGAGCTCTGCGAATTTCGCCGCAAGCTGCGCTGAAACTCTCGCAGAGAGAGCTCTCTCTCTCTCTCTCTCTGGGATTCACTTGCTCTCCCTCTCTGCAGGACTTGAGTACTCAGGGAAAAAAGCCTGGATTTGGATGCAACATGCGGCTGAGTCAGTTAATGACGTACCACTCTCTGTCCCCCTCTTTTGTATCACTTTTATCACGCTCCCTCCTTTCGTTCCTCATGCTGCTACCCTACTCCTGCCCCATAATCATTTCCGATGTGCAGTTCCATGCAGTTTCCCCAGACAATAGGCCTATATAGCCATATAGCCCCATATAGCCAGCAGACTGAGTCGCCCAACGAGCGTCTTTATAGCTTGCTTTGTTCGCCACGACTTACAGTGGTCTCTGGAATGGTGGGAAAACATCTAGGATTTAACGTAAATAAATTCCTAAGATTCTTCTTTTGATTTCAAAAAATTTTAATCAGAAGGTTTTATAAGAAAGTCCCCAAATATAAGAATTCTTTTTTATTACTTTTCAATTTTCTTCAAAATGTCTGTGCCGTTCGAAATTTATAGGTTTTTATAAGAATACAAGCTTAAATTAATTTTTGAATAACTTTTTTGAGTAAAGTCGCTATAAAGCAGCTATCTAGTAATTATTAAATTTAAGCTCTACCCTACTAACCTAAAACATATATTCTTATGTTCAATACTTTCGAAAGTTTTGCACTTTTTTTTACGGAAATTCCGAAAAAAAAATCGTAGGTTACAAAACTGGAGCAATGACTGTACTTGACTTTATGCGTTTATCTTATTCTGTTTGCTCAGCTCGTATTTCTTTTAAAGCTCAGCTCGCAGCTGACGCATTTTGTTGATTTTGATTGCTTAAAGCCGAGAAACAAAGAGTAATTGTTTAATTCAGTTGAAGGGAAGGATTGCCAGCTATTTCGCTTTGATTTATGTGAAATTTACAAATCAAATTTATTTCGGTTGCAAAGTGTCGAGAAACCTTTATATTTTGTTTAAGCTTAATTAATTTAATTGTCACATTTGAATATGAGCTGACTTTTTTCAACTCTAGAATTTGGTCATGAAATAATTTATAATTAAAATATGTTTTTAGGATTGGAACTGACTTTTATTCAGATTAGTGCACATTCCTTGCATTTGTTTATTCTCATTTTTTGCTATTTGAAGGGAAACTCGAATGAAGTCCCCTGATAATATCCAATTACCCACATCATCAGTTTCTTAGAACAATTTTTTTCCATTTTCTTCAAGCTTTTTGTCGCCTTCCATTTCTTATCGTAAACAACTCGTTGGGAAACACACAAAACCGAAACACAAACTTGTAATTGATAAAAGTGAGCTAGTCACCGACTAAAATCACAATTAACATTAACCACAGCTTGTACGTCAAAAATGCTTTTTTCTTTCTGCTTTGAATATTGAAAGTTGTTTTCTGTAATATTGTATGGTTTCTCAACGTCGAACTTGAGTCAAATTTTTGTATAATTTTATTCCAGTTTAATTGGATGTTGTATCAATTTATTATCAAATCACTTATTTAATTACACATGTTGTATTTAGTCAATTTACTGGGCTTCTTATCGACCCAAAAGTTCATTGTTTTTTATATTTGATTACACATTTAATTTATATCTTGAACTTGCGCTTTTGCTTGATTTTTATTATTAGCTTAGTAGCCATCGCAAATCAAATTCGCTTTTTGTTTCAAGATTCATTAGTTAAACATATCATTAGTTAATAAACCATGAAAGTTGATATTAGATTTAATGATAAATTTTGTTTATAATCTTAATAGCCATGAAATACATATTTTATTCAGTCGCTCAAGTCATTGATTTAAATAAAGCTTGATGGGTTTTGCATGCATGTGTAGAGAGATTTCGGATCGTATTTTTAATTAATTTGCATGCACTCGCATCCGTTTTATGGATGCGGTTTGTTCATTTAGCTTAACAATTTAACACGTAATTTAATTCAGTCATGCAATGTATCGCAGAAACAAATTTTCTAATCATTTTCCTAGGGGTTAGAAATAGGAATTACTTTATGCGCGGCAAACAAAATTCGGGCTTTGTTTGTTTGTTTATTTTCCATTAGCCGACTTCGGTTTCTTTCGATTTCGATTTTAGGCCTAGTCGAGAATGAGAATCCAGTCAAGACCTGGCTTTATCTGCAAGCACAAACGGAAATCAACGACAAAACGACGACGACACGATGACAACGAATCCACGAATCGCTCCGCTTTGAATAAACTGGCTGTTGTAACGGTCGCAAGCAAACTGAATCCGAAAGATATGCCTGAACCGAACCGAAAGATACAGATACAAATGCAAACGGCCCCCGCGAAAAGTTCTCTCGGCCGCCTCTCGCTCTTTCTCTCTTTCTCTCTCTGCGTTGTTTGCGGCAAGCATAATAAAATAAAACAAGTGGTCGAGTTTTCCGACCCCAAGATACCCGTTGTTTAGATACAATAAATCACAGATAAAACTTATGCTTTTTGTATTAAAATATTAAATTAATTTATATTATTTTATACATTTTTCTGATAATTAAAAATATAAGTAAATAATTATTTAATGGAAAGAAAGCTAACATATGTAAATCTGTTTTGTAAAAATAAAATTGTATCTTTTAAACAAACCTTAAATATATTCCCTTAAAATGTCAAAAGTACAGGGTAATTTTAAAAGAGAGTCGGTTTGCTTTTTCTCTCTTTCTCTCGCGATGGCGACAACCACCCACAACATAAACGCTTTCATCACCCCCACCTCCCCACTCTACCAACAAAAACAAACCCAAATGCTTGCTCCCAAAATGAGAGAGAACCGGGGAGCGTTGTTGTTTTGGGGCGAAGTCGCTCAAAAAACGCCATTCGGGGAGACAGCAAACACTTTTGGCGTTCACATTGTTGTCTCTTTCGCACTCAAGCATTCTCTTACTTCCGGTCTCGAATGCTGCGGCTTGGTGTTGTTGTTTTTGTAGTAGTAGCTACTGCTGATGCTTTTGTTGTTGCTTTTTGTGGTGGGGATAAAAATGAGCATCTCTTGGTATTTTTTTGGTATTATTCACGGTATTTAACAATAGTATCACAATAGTATCCGTAATTAATTAAGTTTATTTGGAAAAATCGAAAGAATTTTAAAAAATAAATAAAAGAAAATGGGTATTTTTGCAAGGGTTTTTATTTTGTTTTTTTCTACTTTTTAATATTTTTAATAAATTTTCGTTTATTTAATATTTGCAAACAAAATTTAACTGGCTGCAATATGAAATTGAAAGTAATACTTGGCCCCCAATGACAAAATAGACCGTGTATAATAAAAATTCAAACCGACTTAATCCAGTTTCAGAGCATAAAACCCCATATTTATATAGCATTTCTGTCGCCTGTTGCACCCACCTCAATTACCAATTGACGGCAACACCCCCGCTAAATCCAAAATTTACACAAATTAATTTTTTTGCAAAAACGCAGACCGAGTCTTTTTGCTTGGCGCTCCCAAATCAGAAGAAAAAGGTAAAACAATAACTTCAACGGCTTATTAGACGGCCTAAAAACATCAAAGGCCGGCCCATTCCTAAGCAATATTTTATGTAATTTTCCTTTTTTTTATTTTCTTTATAATTTACAACAAAACGCGCAACAAGCGCAACGAGTTTTCTGCAGTCGAGCAGCTGACGGCGAAAAGAGTTTTTTTCTGTAATATTTTTTTGTTTCTTTATTTTGTTTGGTACATTTCTGTTGCTGTTGGTTCCTTCTTTTTTTTGTCGGGACACAAGAAACTTGTTTGCAGAGCTCCAGGCGATAAAGAAGGAGAAAATATATAACAATAGCAATAGCAAAACAGTGACTGAGGCAGACAGGTCAAAGGAGCAGTTTTTACCCCTGCCACGCCCCCCTCCGTCTACAACTTGCCCGCCCCCCACCAGCCACGCCCCCGCAGAAGGAGCAATAAATTCTGCCAGCAAGCGTCTTCGATTAGTTCGGAAATGGCGAGAGAAGTGAGTGAAACGGGAAAAAAAGAAAAAGTTCTGAGAAAGAAGCGTCGTTTCGTTTCCCGAACAAGAGATACTTATTATTCTTTTCTAAAAAAAAAACTGGTAAAATATATTATTCGAAATCCGAGGTTCCAAAACAGGTCAAAACCTTCAACAAACTAAGTTAAAAAAAATTATATTTTAAAAAATTAAAAGACTTTTGAAAATTTGGAAATTTGAAATAATTTATTTTTAAATGTAATCCGATGTTTACATTACTGAATATTTTAAATGATTATTTTAGCTCTCCTTAAACAATTCATGTTCTCACTAGAAAATATTTAAATTATTTGAGTTTTATCAAAAACCATTAAAAAAGTTTTGATCCCAGTTCAACACACTAATATAAAATGATCACTTTCAGCATTTTCATGAATACTGAGTAAGAAGACCAACCATCGATGGCAATATTTAGTCTGCAACTGATGTTCCCCGAGTTTATTACTGCTCAAAGGTAAGGATTTATAGCAAACTGCGCATTCAGCAAATTTGGGTCATAAAAGTAATTAGTGAAATCTGTTCCAGTACAGATTGGTATTGTGGGTGGATTTTAATTACCGGCCAGAAGTTCATGAAAGTGCCAAGAAGTTTACCAGTCCTCTGCTTCCATCGGCTAATTGATTTAGCTGGCATTTTATTGATCACCCCAAAGGAGTGAATACGTAGGGCTCTGTAGGGTTAATGGGGGAGTAGGGTGTTAAACAGCAATGGCCAAGTTGAGGCAACATCGGTTATTGGCCTATTAATGAAACAGCCATAAAATTAAAAAGCGATTTATAAGTGACTTTAAGAGTGCCAGAGATTTAAGGTTTTGTAGATGAAATATATGCAGCTTTGCTTGAGTTTTAGTATAAGATTTATTGGTAATAAAATAATGAAACTAAAACTCAATATTTTCCATTATGATCTGAAGTAATGAAAACTACTTTACTTAATTTGTTTATAATTATAAACACATTTACTTTTATACTGCTTAGTCATACAAGGACTACCATACCATTTCGTTAATGCTTACGTAAGCAAATTTAAGTAAGGACACTTTCTTCATTCCTCACAGAGATTAATGGTCCCCGGCCCGAGCCCTTAAGTCCAATTGGGGTCGTTAAAACTACTCCTAGATGAAAATTTTACGACTCTGCCGTGGTCTTTGGTCCTACATGGTCGTATATACGTATGTAGGTCTGCAAATCACAGTGCTGTTTTGATGTTCATGCCTGCGAATTGTGCGCATAACAATTAGGCAGCTTAGGCTGCTGCTTATGCCACCGAGAAAACTAAGGCCCAGACTGCATGTATCCAATGTCATAAAAATATCAGGAACACATGTTGCCTGCCGCTGATTTTCTGCAGATTTAAGGGGGCCATGTGGGGGGCGGTTGGTATTATTCGGCTGAGGGGGACGATCTGCTGTCGTCTGCCAGGCCCGCCACGTCTGGTTAATGAGCACGTTTGCAGCCGTGGGAAAGAGGCGATATGTACCCCAAAAACACAGGAGTTTGAAAATGATTGTTCCTTAAATGAGTTTCCAAAAGCGCTTCTGAATAATCTGATTAAATTTGAATTATAAACATGTATTTTAATAACTAAAAAAATCCTAAAATAAATATGTCAAAAATTCAAGATTATGGTAAGGTCTTAAGAAAATCGTATACTTGATATTTGTTTTCTTAATATCTTGGATAAATATGATGTGATTTAAGCAAAATCATTTAATTGTTTTTCCATTTATATAAATACTATTTTTTTAAGTTTAAACAAAAATATTTAAAAGCATCTTTCTTGATTACCAATTAGAAAAATATTAAAAAATAACTTCCGCCTAAAAATAAGCAAGAAAAAAGTCTCTTTTCCCTGCAGCCCCAAAGTATGCAAAACTTTTCCTTGTATTTTTCACTGCTTCTTTGAAATTCATTTGTCATATGAGGAAACCCTAAAAACATAAGTTTGAAAGTGCGGGGAAGAGGAAGTTGACCTTAACAAGCGCAATATCATCAATCAGTGCACAAATTTGCATTTCATTTTAGCCTATTTCTGGCGGATAAGGGTAACATGCTGCCCCTTCTATGGTATCCACATATGTACATATATCTTTCCCGATCCCTGTCCATATCTTGTCGCCGTTGTCCGCCTGTCGTTGTCGGCGCATCAACGCGCTTCATCAGCTAGCCGACTGATATGTAAATCTCATAAATCATGCACACCTGTCGTCGATGGCAGCGACAGTTCAGCTCGGTTTTGCTCAGGTCAGTCAGGACGACAAGGACATTGTCAACAGACCGACAGGGGGCGGTGGTGGTTGTAGGTCTCCTCCACACATTTATTTTCAGTTTTTCCAGCGTTCAAGCGGGTTTTGTAAGGGTTAATACGCAGTTGAAAATAATATTATTTTGGCTTTTTTAAATATTAAAACACAAATTTTTATTTAACTTTTATTTAAAAATTAGGTCTTAAATAAAATAAATAATTATGGTATAATGTTATTTATTTTATCACGTTAAAACTTATGGAAAAATGGCTCGTGAAACAGAAGCCCTGCGGCATTAAAATTATTATTAAACACTTTTATTTAGTACCTAAGTTTTAGCTACAAAAAAAAAAAACTATAAGCCTTGGGTTATCAGCTGGAATATAAACCACAAACTCTGTATATACAAATTTTCTTTTTCTTTGTCTTCGTTGGGGGTATGTGAATGGCCAGCAAATTGATTAGCCACGTGCAGCCATATGCTTCCTGTATCTTGGCCAAGTCAAGAGTTGTGGTCTGGTGAATGTCAAATGCTTCAGTTCGGACATGAAGCTCTTGTATTGTCTTAAAGTAATTTGGGGAACGTCATTTTAAAAGTTTATATTTATTAGAGAAAATTTCTAGATTTAAAATATAGAACTACAAAAATTATACAAAATATTACTTGCACCAATTTTTTAAAAAAAAAATATCTAAGCGTCCGCCTACCAATTCTTAAGGTGGCCAGGCCATCATAAAAGTGATTCTGGCCCGAACTCTCACTAATTGCTCGGCCACAACACCTGCTGCCTGGCTGGTTTTAAGGTGGCCTTTTTAGCCCGCCTCTGAAGAGATGTTCCATCGAGCAACGGGAAAAAAACCACAAATTTACATAAATATGCCACAAATCATAGAGCTCTGCCGTTCCGGCAACTTGTGGTCCATGTGACAGTGTCTCTCCGGCTATTATGAATGCATAAAAAGCGTTCATAAGTTCATTTTTTTAAACCACACTTTCATTGCAATTAAAATACCAAAGAATAAAAAAAGAAGTGCTAAAAAATATGTGTGTATGCACCTAGCCCATAAAAAATACCAAGGAAAATTTATGAGCAGCACATGCCACACGATTGAAACTAAAGGGTTTTCCCTTAAATTCAGCTTGAATATTTTTTATTTTGCGGATTTTTGCGGTATGAAACGCACGTTGCATAATAATAAAAGTTGGTGTGGCGCGGAAGTCGGGGGAGTGGCACTTGAATGCCTTTTGGGTTTTCACCCCACCACCACCATCCTGGTAAAATGCTGCAATTGTTTGTCATTAGCAAATGTTGCCTTTTCGGGTACTTTACGAGTACATTCCCACACCCAAATTGCTCTTGTAGGCCTTGTGTCCTCTAGTAGACAAAATTTGTGACTGCGACAGTTTGTTGTCCGGTCACCCTGCCTTCCCCACCCATCGAAAATTTTACGCCCCTCGCCTCGGGGGTCTCCTCTCATTTTTAACGCATCATTTAGGCATTTTATGTAGGTGCAACATTGCAGCACAAAACAAGACAAAACATAACCTCAGGCTGTTGCCGGAATGAATGAATAAATGTGGGAGGATCCCAGTTACAAGACCACAAAATATGGCAATACACTAAGTAGATATTGGAATGAGTACAGAACAGAAATTGCACATCATAATTATTTTAATTTAATTATTATTTAATTATTTTACACTGATTAAATAATGTTTATTTGTTTAAATATGGGGGAAAAAAAGCTGAGATTTTGAAATCATATATAAATGTCTAAAAATGTGTCTACAAGTATGCAGAGAAATAAGGTATAGTAGTCTTCCTGCATAAATGTATATCATTTTTGTGTTTAATATATTTTGTTGCATACTTTTAGACACATATTTTGACATTTAGAACTGATTTCAAAAACCCAGCTATTTCCATGTAACCCCCTTAATAATTAGAATATAAAATAATTAATTCATCTGAATTAAATATATTTATTACACTCAAATATTGCCACTTATACATATCATTAACTTGGCATACCTGCTATATTTAAATACAAATAATTTAAGTGTTGACCCATATTGATGTAAATCCAAAAAAACCTCCAATAAATTTATTCCCTTTACAAAACATTTCAGGGTCTCCCGCTTAATGAAATTTCATGAAAAGTCATTTGAACTTTTCACTTTAAACAATTTGTGAACTCACATCAAATTAAGTGAGCTTAAATCAGCAGTTTCCGAAATAAAACTCAACCCCCAGCACAACAATTTTCACACCCCTTTCACATATGCAGCTTTTTATTTGACAAAATAACGAACTCTGTTAATGAGTATGTTGTATATCCAGCAAATGTATTTACTTTTTTCGTCTGACGGCGCCAAATTAATTTTTGCCTCGTCTGAGGGATAAATACTTATTGCAGCAGAGGCGACAAAAATAAAAGGTAAATTTTGTTATGCAATCTATCCAAACGAAACTGTCTATAAAATAAGGCACGCTTTTAATTTGTGCATTTTTTCCACTCACTGCTCGGCGCTAAACGGTTGACATAATGAAAATGTAAATTACAGTAAAGTTATGGACTCTCATTTTGGAGCTCCAATACGGGATACGAATGGAGATGGAACTTGACTTTATGAGCACATAAAGTTCGCCTGTTGCCACATGAGACTCAGGGTCTCATCTCATTAGAGAAACTTTTGCCCGCACCCAACGAAACGTAAATAGATTTCAACTCAAATTGCGTAGGCCCAAGTACAGCTGAGCTTTATGGGATGGCTTAGGCTTTAAGAAAATAAACGAAAAAAGAATTATACAATGATATTGACTATCAAATACCTTCAGTTCAGTTGAGAAACTATAACAAATATTTAAATGCCTTAGTATTAAATCCAATAACATTGCCAGAACTTTGTGCAACCCAACCAAATAACCCAAATGATTAAAAGAAACAAAGCCAAAGAAATATATAAGGCCAGTATTTTTGGCAGCGATTATTTGTCGTTTGCTTATCAACGCACTTCCGCATCATTAAATAATTTTATCATTTGCATTATTTTCACTTTCCTAAGCACAGATGATAACGATGGTAATGATGATGAAGCTGCTTGGATGCTAGAAGGTTACAAAGTTCCCTGGGAAAGTTATGGGAGTATGTGCGGTTGGTCGGGGGTTGGTCACAGGCTGATTTAACTAATTTGTAATTTATGCGACACTTCTGGCGGTTAAGTTGCGGAAAAAGTTGATGAGAAATTTTTTTTTAATTAACTCAGGGGGAAATGCTAAACATTTTGGAGTGTTTCCAATTCAAAAACTTTTTCCGCGAACTTAAGATATTAAATTTAAATGCAGAGCTTTACATTTTAGTGCAGTTCTTAAGTCTTTTAAGATCCGAATCTAAGGCATATATTTTTTACAAAAGAAGGAGCAGAGCTGAGTTCACTTCACTTACATTACAAACCCATTAAAGTTGGCCAGAGAACACGAAAAAAAAAAAAATAATTATGACTATGGAAATGCAAATGCCAAAAGACATGAGAAGAGCATGGGACAAAAGATAATGAGGACAAACAGCAGAAGCAGCAGCAGCAACAACTGCCACTTGCAGGCTACAATGATAATGTTGCTGGCTGCTGATGACAACAACATCTAGCAACGGCAACAACTGCCAGCAACAACTAGTAAAAGCAAATACACTAAAAAAAATTGCAAATGATAAAAGGAAAATAAAAGCTGGGTTTTCCATCCATTACCCCAAAGTCAAATTAAATTAAAATATTATTTTAGTTTATAAAACAACATATTTATTAAAAACATATTATATTTTAAAAAAATATCTTTTATAATAAATATTTATTAATATTTTTTTTTAGTGTAGGTGCAACCTCTACTAACAACCAACGGAAATCAGCCGAAGAATGCGCGCCCCAGTGAAGCATTTTCCCTCCAGGTTTTTTTTTTTCGTATTTTTCCACCCCTTTCCCCAGCCTTAAAGTCCCTGGGAAAAAAACGGAATCTAAACGCTGTCCTCTGCCTGCCAAAACCCCTTCTTTTTTCCCAGCAAGGATATGCCTGCCGCTGCTCATTTTCGCTACTAAATAAGACAGGCCGCCGCGTCCTCGAACAACATTTTGACATTTCTTCTTCTTTGCTGCGATTTTTGTTTGCGATTTTTGCCTCACAAATTTTTGCATTTTCGTGTCATAACGCGAGGTCTCAGAGGAAAAGGGAAAAAAGGGGGCAAAATGCTTCAACCAAACTGCACAAAAACTATTTTAAAACCCATTCGGGTTTTGTAAAATACCCCGTAATAAAATTACCGATCGATTGACATCCAAAGCCAGACATTTTTACTAAAAAATGTTATTTAACCCCTTGAAAAAAATAGTCTGATTGAGCCAACAAATTATTTTACAAAAAAAATTGTTCTATTGATTGCAAACAAAAACGACTTTTAAAAACTTTGTTATTTATTGAAAACAGTTTTTAGCCGCTTAAGAAAATCAGACCAAAACCAAAGATTGATGTCATTTATTAAAATAGAAAACAATCAGCAAAATGGCTTTTCGGTATGGTAATTTTTTTGAAACCTGGTTACATGGTTGATTTAGCCGAGAAAAAAGTGAAAGAACTTGCAGTCAAGTGAAAATGTCAGGCACTCAAAATTTGTGCGCCATTTCGCATATATAATAAATCTACCTGAACCGAAAATAAACAGGAAAATATAAAAAGAAAAGAGCAAGGGAAAAACGAAGAAGAATGAAGAACGAAATAAGCTGAACTGAGTTTATTTTAGGTTTAACGATTTGGAAATAACGCCACAAAACAGGACGACAAATTATTTGGCCATCAACTGCAGAACTTTCGCATGGCATTGGCAGATTGGCGAGGGTCTGAAAACTTATTAATTTTCACAAAGTCAGCCACTCGCACACACAAAACACACAATCGAAAATTGTGAAAAACTGTGACGTTATGCACATGAGCGAGCAAATGGCAGCAGCAGCAACATCAGCAACCAAAATGCATAGCATACTTCGCCGGGCATTAAGTAGTTGAGTTTTTGGGGGCGATGTGATATTTGAGATGAAATTAAATGTGTCTGAAGTTGGGAGTAAAGCCAACAAATTATGATTAATTTTTGTGATCTGCTAGCTTAAGAAAATATATACAAACAAGATGGAATAAACCTATTATTGAATAAAAAAAACCTTAGCATTAATCCATTTGATACGAGTAGATTTATTTGTATTTTATAATAATTACTTTGTTACATAATAATGTTTTTTTTAAAGCCCTAAAATATAGTATTTCCTTGGAATGTTCCAATGAAGCATGAAACTGCGGCCATTTCCGATATTGCAGATTTTTTATTTTTATCGAATGTTGATTTTAAGTCTATTCATTTTTCTAACGACTTTGATGGTCTGGGGCAGTTTTAATGTATTTTTAAATCCCCCATAATAAGAGATCAAGTGACGAGGTATTTTTGTCTTTTGCTTTACATATATTTCAGAAAAATATGTAATTTCCGTTTTAAATAGTCTTTTCAAAGAAATCAACGCTCCAGCAGATTCCTATACTCGATGAGGATTTGCTCTTCCTGCACCAGCGGCAGGTCCAAATAGTGCGAATTAATTTCGCTGAGTTCTTCATTAAATCTCTTGTAGGCATTATACGATTCTATTTCAGACTTGGCCTGACTGAGAACCGATTTGACTAGTCTCATCTTGCTGCCGGATAAGTTAACCAATGGAGTGGTGGAGCTACTACTACTGCTTCCTCGTTTCGAGCCCGAAGGTCCAAGGTCTTCCACTAACTTGGTCATCTTTTCTATGACACCCAGTAGCTCGGCCTCGCTAACGAAACTTTTCAGCAGGAATTCTATGGATTTTCGGAAATTATTATCTGTGGTCTCCAAGGCGACTCGAGCGTTGGGTGCCGGAAAACCCAGTTGTTGGAGAGTGGAAAGCAGCGATTCATCGACAGCAGGTGTTGCGGGCAAATTGGCCCTGAGATCATCCGAGTGGCGCTGCAGGAGATCCAAGCTGCGTTCAAGATTATTTTTGGTTCTCTTCAGAGCCTCCACAACCAAACGCCTTTCGTAGCCCATTTCCATGAGTCGGCAAACACTGCGCGGATCCACCCATTCTCCTCCCCCCGAATTGGCATCTCTCATTTCCTGGTAAACCTGCCTCGCCGGCGCCGAATTCCTGCGTTCTTCGCTGATCTTCACCTTGCGTTCCTGAATAAACTCTATCGCTCTGTCCACATTTCCAGCACAGGATCTTAGGGCTAAACGGGCATCCGATTCCTCATAGCCCATTTCCACCAGTGCCGAAAGCTGATCGTCATCGACCCTTAGTTCATTCAAGTCTCGCGAAGCCTCCTCCAATTTTTCATAGGCCTCATCCCGGCGATTTTGGTGGAAAAAGAGCACACCCTGCAGCAGGTGAAGTCGCATAATTAAAGCCCTTTCTGGGCAACTGGTACCCTTTAAGCGAGTACAGACGACCGAACTGTTCGCCGTAGCTCTTAAAGAAACTCCTTTCGCAAATATCCAAACGTCGCTGGGCATCCGGCAGTTGGGTGATATTCTTCAGGCACAGATAACACCATACAATGTCCAGATTTATCAGAGCATAATTATCCACCGCCTCCAGAAATTTCGAGTCGCAACGGGAGAAAAGCTCATCGGCCTCCAGGAGCAAAAGTAAAGCCTCATCGAAATTTTCACGACGCATGGCTCCTCTGGACGCCTCGTACATGCTCATGGCCATCAGTAGTGATCGATTTTCATCGGGTGGCAGGAAAATCGGCCGGCCATCTTGATCCTCCATTTCCATAAAGCGATGATCGGCATCCGTAATTAATTCCACATCAGCTCGAATCCTTTGGATGCGTTCATGCAGCTGCTGACCCTCGTTTTCACCGCCCACTATTACCATAAGTTGTTGATTGGTTTTCAGGCCCTGCGAAAAGAGTTTTAAAGTTATCGATATTTTCGATATATTCACAATATTGTTTCGATAATATTGATTTTTTTAATGGAAAAAGTATGAAAGATCGGAAAATTTCAATATATAGATATTATGGATATTGTTCACAACATCGTTTCGATATTATCGATGTGTAAAATATCGATATTTCACACTATAGTTTCGATATCTTTACCTGCGAGGCCAAAGTTGTCTGTCCATTGATGAGGCGACCTCCGGAAATGCACTTAACATGACTGGGATCACTCAAGTTCAGTTTCTTGGCCACTTCGCCTTGAAGTTCGGAGCCCATACCTCCCAGCGAGCACTTAATCTCCAGAATTTGCGATGTGCCTCCCTTGCTGTCCACACAACGCACATTGAAGGTGGCCAAACCGGTGGCATTGAACTCCCTGCGAGCTGCCAGCTTCCTTAGAGCACCGTCCTGCATTTCGGCCAAAGCACACCTGCAGTCCGCCAGGTCAATGCCAAGTTCTCCACTCAAGTCCCTGGCCAAACGGTCCATCTCCGTTTCAATGCTGCCCACGCCCTCGAAATAGTACGGCTCCTCCCACAACTTGATATCACGCTCCCGCAGACGCGATCGCAACTTGATAAATGTATTATTTATCTGGGACATGTTCACTCGGTACACGAACTGAATAATTTGTGAGTCTAGCACGAAAATTTCTGACGTATTCGGCTGGCTGTCAAAGTACATCGCCTACTAATTTTCGGTATTTTTTATATCACTAATCAAATAGTCTCAAAAAAATCGAAACAAACCTTTTTAAATCCAATAGTTATCAATCAGCAATCAAATTCTTTGTTTTCAAGTGCCCATTCCGGACCTCTTATGTTATCAATAAGATTGCCTTTGAAGTACCATCTTCTAACCCTTTGATTTGCGTAGCCGTTATCTTATCTAGTATTTAAAAGGCAACCGTATTTAATTAAGTACATGGGTTCATCTTGATATTAACCTTAGTACATTTTTTCTTTATGTGAGTGGAAGATTTTAGTACACCGGTTTCGGTCATTAATAACTGATTAAACGAGTAAAAGAAGAATAAAGAGCAGGGAATCTATATAGTGGTATTATTTTCCGTCAGCTCTCTGCCGCAACAAAAAATTGTTTTGTTACCTTTTTAACCAAAATGTATTAACTAAAGATTTTAACAGATTTTTTCAGATGTTCAAATTCATATTTATTTATTTCATGCACTTCACTTATTTCTTAACGCAGACCTTCACGCTGGGCATGAAGTTGGTGTAAGTGTTCTTAATATCATCGGTGGCACTCTTAACGCAGCGGCTGGCATCTCCGGGAATCTTCAAGGCCCTGGGAATCTGCCTGACCAGCCTAATGGTGGAGCCGAAGACCCGCAGGAAGCACCTAATCTTGTGGTACAGTCTGGTCAGGATGAAACGCTCCCGCTTGCACAGCCTGGCGCGCAGGTTGATAACGGTGTCGGAGAGGTGGACAACCTTCTTCACGGAGCCGATAAGCTTCTTCACATCCTCGGGGACATCGCGGCCGCAGGATTCGATCCTGCTCAAGTAGTTGCTGCTGGCGTCCAAGACATTCGTCACCTCACCGATAATGCAATCGGCGCCAAGAACAGTCCTCAAGGCACGCCAAAGGATTTTCCGGAAGATACGGAAAGCGCCGAGTTCCTCCACATCCATATACTCAAAGTCATCGTCCTGCTCATCCAAAAATTCGTTCACTTCGAAGTCAATGTCATCATCCGCGAAATCCAAGCTCAGTTCGCTCGATTCAATGGCATCAGCCTTAAATAAAATAAATTGGGATTTTATTTTAATTTAATGATTTTTATATAATGACTTTAATATTAAATATAAATGTTTACCTGAGCAGTTAAAAAACAGCTGGCCGAAAGCGCAACCAAGAGCAAAAATGTAAAGGCCTTCATGTTTCTAGACGGCTGAGAAACCAATGTCCCTGTCTGCACTTTTCTTTGTTTATATAGGGTCGGATTATGCTGACCATATCACTCGGTTATCAGATCAGTACGTGGGTCCACTCGAACTATCTATGCCTAACTTATATTTTATACGCTTTCAGAGGGTATTATACTTTCTAACGCCCTCAATCGCCTTAATGGACTTTACAATGTACCTCACATCTTTAAAGATTAAGGAAAAGTAAAAACGCAATTAATGTTGTGTTTAAAAATACCTATCAAAATGTAGAAGAAATTTTTTAAATCGAACCATTTATTAAAAAATTATAAGTAAAATTAAAATAGCCACTAGATGGAGCCATCACAAACTGCAACAGCCGCTAGATGGCGCGAGTAGCTTTGACGACTGCATATCTCCATCTCACTCGCACTGCCTTCAGCTGAGTAACGGGTATCTGATAGTCGAAACTCTCGACTAAAGCGTTCTCCACTGTTTTCAATTTAATAGGAATCATTTGCAAGAGTATAGAAACTTCGGTATGTGTGCGTCTGAACTTAACTTCCTTTGTTGTCTTTTAAATAATATTGATAAACACGCGCGTGCGACCTCAAACAAAACCTCAAAATTTTGCACCTAACACAATCTAAACAGGAAAGACAGAATTTAATTGAATGAGCCATTATGGACTATCAAAAAAAATAGCTACTTGACCAAAGTTCTTAATTTTCTTATCTTCAATAAGAAGATGAACAACTAATATAAGCCTTTGTCTTTCACACTTTGTTCTGGTGAAACCAGCACATATAGTATTTAATCAGCTATATAATTATACACAGTTCACATAGACTCTATGCAGACATCAATGTTGGGCAAAAAAGAGTTAAAGGAGGCGGTGACATTATTTGTAGCTTTTACGAAGCAGGAACTGGTATCTGAGGGCAATTTGGCAATCAGTTTCAGGGTCTTATTAATCTTCCTGGTCAACTTCATTGAGGCCTTGAACAATTTCCAAAAGCACTTGGAGGAGTTCTTAATGATCGAGCCATCGGAGGACTCATCCTTGGCACAAAGTTTCGAATGGAGGTGTAGAATATCGTCGCAGATTTTTATAATCTGCTTCACGGAATCCACAATCTTGGCCACATCCTTGGGAATGGCTGTTCCGCAGTCATCGATGGCATCCACATAGCTGGTGCAGGAGCTCAGGATATTTACCACCTCCTTGATAATGCAGTTGGTGCCACGAACTGTTTTCAAAGCCTTGCGAAGGATTTTCTTGCATGTTTTAATAAAGCCCTGGGCCTCCACATCCATATAGTCGTTGTCATTATCCAATTCATCCAGCAGATCCTCCAGCTCTGATTCAAAATCAAATTCATAGTCCAAGTTGCTTTCACGGGATTCTAGGGAATGGGCCTGAAAATAAAATATATTAACATAAACTATATTTATCTTTATTTATCTACTTTTCATACCCGAGTGGTCAGCAGGCAAGTGGCCGAAACCAGTACCAAAAGGCAAAGTGTAATGGCTTTCATTTTCATGTCCAATTAACGAATGTTCTACGACCCGCTATCGAAGATCAATTTATATGCCATCGAAGAATTGCGTCTTATCAAAATCGAATCACATTATCAAAAATTAATCAAATTGCGAAGTGTCCACTCGAGCTATCTAAGCCTATTATAGCTGATATTATTTCGCTAAATTAGTTTACTATAGATATCTTATCGTCCGAGAAAATCAAGCAATCAAAGTCTCCCAAGCACTTGTATTTAAAGTGTAACGAAACCATTTGATTTTGAAGCTTACTATCTCGTCTGCATTATCTGTTTTATTTCTTAAGATAGATTTGGAAAAAAATTTAAATTGAAAAGGGTATATTTTTTAAAATATTTTTAAAATTTATATTTTTAAAAATATATAATTTTCTTTATTTTTTATTGACCTTTTTTCTTTTTATATTCCTTAAATTAAAATATGTTTAAAATTAATTCATTTAAAGATATATAATTTTCTTTATTTTTCATTTTTTAAGGGATTTGAGATCTTTTTTGAAATTCCAAATAATTAATTAACTTTCCCACTGCAATGCAAACGTAATATGTCGAATTTCAGCTCGCAATTATCACACAATATCCGGAAATGCTTCTGCGAAATCCACTTGGTCGCCCTTAAGAATCGAGGCTCAGCTCGAATTAAAAGCCATAAACCGCAGACAAAGAGCAAAAGAACCACAATCGAATGGTGGCTGCCAACAGATTCCGGACACAATAGATGACAAAAGGGAAAAAATTTGTTGCCATTGTCAGCTTAACGCGCTCGGTTCACTTTGTCCGGGGTTATAAATGGTAACGTGTGGTTAAGGGTTAATAACTGCCACTAGAATTGGGGTAGTTGGGAGGTGGAAAATAAAAAGACTGAGACCAAGACATTTTATAGATACAAAAGAAAGTTTTGGCACCCCGCGACAACAACAAGTGTGGCTGCTAATGAAAAGTGCCGTAAATGTCTGACGTAGTATCGTTTGGATGGCGAATGGAATGGATGGATGGGAGGTCTGTCATTAGGTTAGCTGGTGGTCTTTCCCATTTCGCTGGGGTGACAATTTCTCTGGGTGATAAAGTAGCGGACTGCGTTATTTACACAGAGAAAAAAACGGAACAATACCAGATTGATATTGTCTCCTCAATTTGTACATATCAATTTTTCCATATAAATGTAATACGAATTCATACCAATATGATACGAAATCATAACAATTACCCATGTTGATATGAATCCGTAACATATTAATATGAATACTTCAAAGATTGATATGTTTTTCATATCAAATGGGGCACCGAAAAGTCTTCGAAAAAATAGTATGGCTGTAAAGTTGTATTTTTGTTGTATTTCTGGTATACAATGGTATTATAACGCTTTATATGCTGTGGTCACACTTACAAGTTGAGCATGCTTAAACGAGATAATTTTACATTCAAGTTTAGCTAATATACTCGCGTGTAACTTGTCGCGATGGCCCAATAGGTAACGCATCCGACTCTGATGCGAGAGGACCCCGGTTCAAAACCGGCTAAGGCAGAGAAAGGAAAAAGTTTTTAAGGCGCATAATTAACATTTCCTTAACAATATTAAGAACAAAATTGTGGTAAAAAGTTAATATGATAAGATTACTAATAAAAAAAAAAGTTGTGTTGTGTTGTGAGCGGGATTTGAACCCCGTTTCCCCGAGCACAAAATAATATCAGGACCTAGCACCTTGGCCTCTGAGCCATGCCCACATTTTTTTTCGTGGCAGAATGCTTTTCTGAGTTAGAGAAAATACAATACAAAATTTTGTAGCAAAATTTGATATGTGCGCATAACAATCTATTATGAAAAATACCACATTCATATGTTCGAAAATACCAATTTGGTATGTTCGAAAATATACTTTTGGTATGACCACATATGGGACCAAAATTGATATGAAAAAATACCCGAATGATGACCATTTTTGGTATTTTTTTTTCTCTGTGTAGGGGTTTCATTTCGTGTTGATTCCACATCCTTAATTTGTTCTTCCGGATTTGCTCATTTGAACTGGGAATGCGGTTGATAAGGGAGGGATCTTGAGTCACCGGATTATATTAAAGATATGATATCTTCATTTTTCAAATAATTTTACAATTGATAGCTTAAATGCTAAATTTAGTATTTTAATCTTGTACTAAAATACATTAGTTTTGGTTAAGATTTGTAAAGTGTTTTTTTTAACTCTATCTTTGTTGCTTATAACAATTAATTTTAATTCTCAAAGAAGTGATTTTTAAACAGAAAATTAAATATTCAAGAGGTAAAATAAATATTTAAAATATAACATTTTATTTAAAAACTAAAATGTGCATTTAATAGTTAAATATAGTGTTAGCCTAGCGAATTTTTTAAATCTTTACAATATTTAAAGTGTTTGGCAATTAAATTCCACATATAATATTTTAACAAAAAGTAAAAAAACATTAAGCACTTTGTCACAAATTTATTGCTCTTAAAAGCTCAACCCTTGTCGCACATAAAAATTAATTTCCCCTTCTCCCAAGAACTTCACATCCTTCCTTTCAGTTTTCCGTCTAGCTGCCTTCTCCATCGCATCTGCTCTTGGCATAAGTTAAATGTCGAGTAAATGTGGCTGACAACCATGATGATGCATCATCGCTGCCTGCATACGACACTTTTTAAGATCCTTGTCCTGTCCTTTTTGCCTTCGTCCTGCGAATGCAGCGTGTATGAAATCAATGACATGTTGTCGGCAAACTTTCCACGGCACTAAGTGAGTTTTATCCCTGCCTTCTTTCCTTCCGCCCCTGCGGGCATTAGACTAATATGAACTGATTTACCCCCGAGTTAAGTTTCCAACCAAAAAAAAGTTGACAAGTGACAAGTCACATTGTTGTACATTAAATTAATGAAATCATTCCGCAACTTTTACAGGTCATGGCCGTTGCTCATTGCTCTTCTTCGATTACGGGAAACTTGAAGTGTCTGTCCGGATTTGCGGCTCATAAATATTGAGCGCATTATGTCAGGAGCAGAGAAAAAGGGGGCGGCAGGATATGGGCCTGCAGTCAATTGTTGGTCATCAATCTTTTAAACAAGCGCGGTTCAATGCCAGTGACAGCGGCCTCAACCGAAAGTGGGGTGAAATAAAATAAGAAGAAAAGGAGCGCAACATCGCCGTTGAAAAGCTGACAAAAAGGGCAAAACCCTATAAAGATTAGTGGTAAAAATCAAGCAATACTGGACTGCAAAAATACCTTTTGGGAATAAAAAATTTAAAATATTCAGCTAGCTTAATATGCATTAAATTAAATTTGCTACGGCTAATCAATTTAGGGTTTATTACTTTTACTTAAAAATTACTTTTAGAAGTGGTTTTAAGTTAGTGTAAAGAACTTGGAAACTTATTATAATGGGTATTTATATTTGTCCAGATTTGTAAGATTTTTTGCAAATACAAAATGATATCCCTAAAATTTGTTGCTTTAATATTTCTGCTATGGATGACAACATTCCGATTGACGTGTGCCAAGCACACTGCAATTATCGGACATCTAAAAACAACGGATACTCTTCTCCTCAACCAACCTTTATTCGTTCAAGGAAGAAAAACGGGCAAAATTGCACACAAATTTGTATATAAGCAAAAGGTAAGCGCACCAGTCAGTTAATTATAATTTCATACTTTAATCAGCATGTTTATTTAAGAGAGATCCGAGAGTGATAAGCGCCATCGTGCTAACAAACAACCATAGATCTTCTTTTGGAGCCGAGGGGGCTCTCCTTGACGGCGGACCGAATAATATATACTGTGCTATTAAATTTACGGCCAGGAAGAACTATAATATCGACTATAACATTAAAATTTATAGCAATAACAAAAAACTGAAAAACACGTAATAAAAAATAAATAAAAGTTTATCCTCCTGTTTACTTCTGCATATTAAAAAATTAGGTACTTTCTTATCACTACCAAGCCTAATGAAATTTTACAGTAAGGCTAACCGTGTCAAACCTTTGATAATACTTTTATAATTTTTTTATAAGCGTTACTTTAGTGATGCACTGAATATTATAATACTTTCTCATTTTAGAACCAACTTCTGACAGAACATGGCATATTTTGTAAAGCTAATTTTTGTGGCCATACCACTCATCGCCTTAGTGAGTGTGGTTTTTGGCAGTCAAAATGGAAGTACAACCTTTGGGGTTTTGGAAAAAGGCGCCAGATTAATCCACAAAGAGGAAATTGTGGAAAAAAAAAGTTTTTCCGCATCGTCACAAGGAAAATTGTCTTCAAGCCTCAGGTAAAAACAAAAAATACAATAAAAATATTTTTAAAAAAACTATCAAATTTTTAAACAGCCCCATAAAATTGGCTCAATTGTGATTACCGACAACAGCGAAAATAACGGAGGAAAGGCTTCTTTACTTGAAGGCGGTCCTTCGGCCAATTTTGCTGTGCTCCAGTTCAAATCGGCCCGTAATCATGGTCTTAACTTTACTTTGGAGATATTCGACAATTTGGTAACTTGCAATAGATGTCTACTACCTGGATAATATATTATAACAAAAAAAAAAATAAATGAAACTATAAAAAATATTCATCTATAAAAATAAAAATATTTTAAAGCCTTTCCCAAGTTTATAATAAAATTTTATTATATCTTAAGATAAGTTATATTAAACAGCATAACTAGATTGTTTAAATATTTTTAGTAGTGTACTTTATTCCTTCAATGCAGGAGGACGAGTTCAAACCCTCGTCTGCCTTGATGGCCATGGCGGCGACATATTACTTCCTTATTTGTGGGCCTTGCCCGCGACCTTTCACCTTTCCCCGTCACGCTTCGAAAAGTGAAACATTAGGCCCAGAAATCGCGCAAGTGTGTGTGCGTGTGTTTCGCATTAAAACAATGACGAGGCGCAAACATTTTTAGCGCTGACAGCGAGCCAAACATCCGCCAGATAAAAATGTCCGCGAACAAGCAAACAAATTTGATTGAATCAACGGCGGCGAAGAGTTCGGGCTCT